CTTTGCGGTTGTTTTGCAATTTGACATGTGAATATTTTTACGCTTAATTCAGCCTGACGCATTTACGCGGCTGTGTACTCAACTATTGTTCTCGAAAATATTTATTTGATATTCTGTAATATTTCTCCCCTACATGTTGAAGGCAAAGGTATTCCTGTAACAGGCCGTGGAGGTCCATAAATGTTGTGAAATTTTGAGGCTCCCACATATTCTAGACAATCGGCTCAAAGATGGCGGTGAAGTTGTCAGCTTTACGCGCCAGCCGCCCTTTATCCCCAGGAATATTCCTGGTACTAATTTCTGTTAGAGGCTGAGTCAACCCCAGGGCCATAATGCGGCTGGAAGGATTATGTCAATTGAAAAATCCACCTCATCAGGATTCGATCCCGCGACCTTCCGCCTGGTAGCATAGTGCCTCAACTAACTACGCTACCGCGTGGCCCGCACTTATACGGTAGAAATTAAATTTTATAAATACCGGCCTCTTTAGTTCCCACATTTTAACAGTTATGATTTCCCTCAGGTCTAGCGTAGAGTGTGCACACTTGTGGAGTCCATAGGCTTCTGTTCTGGGACTGTTCTTTTCGAAGGCATACCAATTTGTTCTCGCTTTACCACGTGTTACACGTCCTAACTGTAACACTTACTGGTAACGACAGTTATGTGCCCTCAGTTCACTCACTGCTACATGTACAACTTACGTTAGCATCAAACCATAGCCTTGCCTACGGATCGTACAGAGCAACTCAGCCTCATTCGTATGCCTCACTGCGATACACACTGGACCTGGACGATCAGTGAAGTGTCAAATAATCTTACGCGGATTCAGCAGTTGCTACTCAGCACAGAAGTAATTAATACTCGTATATACTCAAGACTGTGAGCTCATTATCCTGCGGCATGAGCCAAAGGTAGGAAATGTAGGAAAGACACACCCTTGTAAACATTTCTTGTTTTCTTTTCTTTTACTTCTATTAGTTATAACGCACACTGTAACAACATTCGTTAGGGGAATGATTTGGTACCAAATTCAATTCAAGTGGCAATATATCATAAAAAGACACTAGCTAATACAGTAATTCACTGGCTACATAAGTGAAGTTATCCCTGTGACAGGTAGTGGAGGCCCATAGGGTTGTGGGAGGTTGAGGCTCCCACATCTTCTAGACAATCGGCTCACAGATGGTGGTAAGGTTGTCAGCCTTACGCGTCGGCCGCACTTTACCCCCAGGAAGATTCGTGGTACTCATTTCTGTTAGAGGCTGAGTCGACCCCAGGGCAATACTGCTGCTGGAAGGATTAGATAATTGAAAAAATCCACCTCATCGGGAATCGAACCCGCGACCTTCAGGCTTGTAGCATAGTGTCTTAACCAACTACGCTTCCGCGTACCCCAATGGGCTACATACTTATTTTCTAATTAATTACTGAAGTAACTGATCTCGTCCAAAGCCAAGCTAGTCGCAACCTACGCTTAGACGTTCCTAGTCACAAAATATACTTTCCAGATAGCAGGCCTAATTTCACATTATTATTATTATAATTATTATTATTCCTGTCATGAATTCTGCTTGTCCACACTGCCAATTGTCCTCCCGATGTGTAACAGCATTTGTTTTCTCGAACTACAGTAAATTTACATCAGCCATACGCCATATAATCACTGCTGTTATTATGTCGATTTGTCTGCTGTAACGGATTTGATCAACGCGTTGCCAGGCAACAGCTCTCTAAAAACGGTCCAACACGCAACAATCTATGCTGCTGTGTTTTCTATGTCTTCTGCGCCGAGCAGAAGTGGAACAATGGAGTTATGCAATCCCTTTCTAAGCAACGGCTCGATAAACACTTCCGCGTAGGCTCTGACGTCACACAATAGTGGATAGGGACCAAGTGACGTGATTTCTGTAGGTCCGCGCCGAAGATTCATAGGGGACGACAAAGGTCGTTTGCAGGCAGTAGTAGGCTGGAGGAGCAAAGCAGGCAAGCACTAAGCTTGCACCCACACACGCGACAATACGAGATCCTAAGACAGGATATCCATAGACCTTATGAAGTTTGCTCCGTACACTTGCCTCTATGTGGAGTGGAAGTACTGTGGTAGAGCTTATGATGCGATTCCAATTCTCATTCACGTCTTTTTCTATTACACGAATTACCTTAATTTCTTAACTTGTGCTCCAATCCTTCCATAAATTTAAGCTACTAACGTAATGGTGCCCTGAGTAAGAAAGAGAACATAACCCGGATAATGCTGAAACAACACAAGCTTAAAACAATAAAATTCGTTAACATTTCTTACAATCACAATGATGAACATGAAGACTTCTGTATTCTGGGATTAGAGATCACGTGGTCTGGAGGTTGGTTATTAGCGTTATATTCGGCCTATTTATTTGGGAGAAAGTGTTACCCAGCCTTACGTCAGCACATCCTGGTTTAACAAACAATAGTTTTGCGGGGAACAAGTGTTGAAATTCGTGGCATCTAACAGCTGAATGACAGTGAACAAATATTTGTTGGTGCATCACTTAATGGACGGTGATAGCGATCGATTACGCAAGATCGATTCTCGAATGTCCGCCACAAGCAGGATAACATGGTCGTGACTTGAGCGAACAGAGATTTGGGACAACATTCACACCACGTACACTTGCTTTCTGGCACAGAGTTCGCATGACAATCAGGATATGACCAGTTCACACGACGTACGTCCTTTGTGTAAGTGCTGGAACATCTAGGCCCATAGTAGAACACTGCTTTCCTTCAAAGTTTTTCGACTGATAAAGGGTTGAATGTTCGTCATCATATTAAGGCAGTCTGCCAGTAGGTCCACATTCAGGCAAATAAACTAACTCTATTTTTGGAAGATCCAAATAATTACAAAATTCCCACCTGTCCCATATTTCTTTCGTTGAGGCCTTCCGTAAAATATGCTTATGTATTTCTTCATTTATGCTTTATTTCTTGTATATATAGAAAAGAACTTTTAGCCGAGTTCAAATTGTGTCGATTAGATTTTTGAATAATTGAGTGGGATAAACGTAGAATGAATTAATCAGGACTTCATCCGAGGAACTCCACCGACATTTGCTTGCAGTAAATGAAGAAAAAAAGTTGTATCACGATACTCGGTTCAAAGACGATATCTCTCAAGTAAAAGTCAGAAACTTCATGGCATCTTCCAAATTGCTCTGCAGAATGTTAAACTGTTTCCATTTCCAACAAGAAAGCTAAATATTCTGTGCATCTTATTATGTTTGACGGAGTAATATTCATTGCTCTTTCATTTTGGTTAAATATTGAGAGTTCTCTGATTAGATGACGTGTCTGTCATTTACCGTGGTCATAATCAGTACTACATATAATCAATATTTACAATTTTACATATCGGGAATCTACATAGTCAGTTACCAAGTGTCCGATTCATTGTGGATACCTACCCTTCATAGTTTTACAAATAATTAAAGTATATTGCATGCATAATCTACACAATGCCTCTGTCAGCCTAGGCTTGGTACAGCAGATTATACCCAGTCCAGTCAAGTAAATTGCTGCTGGCCCTCGCAAACATAGTCGTTCTTTGTTTCGGGCCCCCTCGGGACCCATGGTTGTATCTTTACTTCTTCCCAAATATACGTATTTTGAAATGTGACCTCCTCCTCAATGAAATGGGCCAGATCATTCCCATCAAATTATATCTCGTTATATAGCCTCGGTGTGGACCCAAGAGAGAACATCATCTCCAACAGCTCCTCCACTGTTGCGTACTAGCCATTGATGCGGTATAGTGGAAAAGTGTTTAGAGAACCATTCCCTGTAAACGGATTTCTTTCCTGGTTACATAGTTCTGGCTTTCAGCTCTCATGGCACAATATTTCACTACATTTCAGAAAAGAGAAACACTGTCTCGGGCAGTCAGATATTTCGACATGTATCCGGTAATATTTCGGGAGTCGCCAAGTGACCAACGATATACAAGTTTCCGGATTACCGGCCATTAATATTGCTGTCTGTTGATGTCTGACATAAGCTAAGCCTACTTCGCCTACTTTGCATCAAGAGTTTTTATCCACACAAAATCCACGTCTGTCGTCCACGACTGTATATCAGAATTAAGTGGCAAGATGAAAATAATAAGAGAAACCGACATTTTTGTAGCTCATTTGCAAGAAATGTTGCAAAAGTATTCCGCGTCCCAACAACGAAAGAACCATGTTAACAGATTTTAATTAAATTGGGTTATTGAGAAGTTTTACTAAAATTTACGATATATTTAAATTTTGAATAATTTCATATAATAAATACAGACATCTCAGATTAAGACTAAAATTCGCCTCTGAACTTGCAGAAAAGGTTTCTATATATTCATGGGCGCAAATAACTTCCCCGCGCCCAAATAAACAAATTTTGTGGCCAACAAAATTTCTCCTTCGTTTTGTGCTTTCTAGAAAATCGAATATCATGTAATTGTTCTCGAAACAGTTATGAAATGCTGGCATGTTTTGATTCCAAAAATTCAACGAGTATAACTTATTTCTCAATTCCCTTATTCATATCTTCAGATGCTCAAATCGCAATAAATTTTCGGTTCTGTTCTAAAAAAATATAAGCTCAGAATATTAGGAAAGCCAAGAAAATAGACTCACTGCTACATTTTTAGAGTTCTTGTAGAGGTCATTTGAAAATTTGAAAATATAAATAATTCCTCATCACGAATGGGGGAGATGGGAGGTATACAAGTATGTATAAAATTTCAAGAAGTTTCGTCTGTTACTGGTAACAAACACTTGGAAAGAATTTGAAGTAGAATATACGTACTTTTATACCTGTACTCAATTATAGATTGAGTTTCCATGAAATGAAGCAATTCATCATTTTCTTATCGATAATTTCGTCACAGCCGTGACTTTCATTCGCCAGCGCTCTAACTGATAAGCATATTGGAGACGACTTTTCGATCCTATAAGTAGGGAGGTTTCCGATGCCTCTCCACAGTTATATGCTCCAATACATACGGAAAGCGTCACACGCCGTAATCATGAACAAGTGTCTCATCGTTCTGGCATTTCTCTGCCTCGCAATTAAAGCAGGTAATGTAATGTTCATTTGGTAATCTAAACGAATATAATATTTCAGGCTTTGTACCTGATTTCACACACAAGTTTTACATTTTCCCCACATGCGCTATTTGTATATTTCACATGAATGTTACAACACAGAGAATATTCCGATTAACTGACCTAATGATCTGTGTATTGAGAAGCTCTGTGTTTTTTTTTTGAGTCATAAAGTGAACTTATAAATAATAATTAGATATCATACGTGCCTCAGAATTAAAATGATTATTGTGTAGTGACGCAACTCAAGTGAATTTATCGCATTTTCTGAAGTACCCTTCGTACAATAAATAAAAAATACTTGAAGTATTCAGGTGTCCTTCGGTAAAAGTTGATAGAAAATAGAGTGGAAAATTTTTAAACACAACGTTCGGAATTTTTAATTTCAATTTTGTTGATTTATTGCATATATTAATGTACTTTTGATAAACTAATTCAGGTAGAGTTATCCATGTAATACAATACGCAAATATGAAAACAATGTATATTATACCTCACTAAACATGAAATATAATATAGTGTTCAAAATATGCTGGAGGTATCCTCCACTTCTCCGAGTACATGCATCAGATCTCTGCAACGCGTTTCGATGAATACACGCAAAATTTTCAGCCTTAACGCTGTCGACGTTCTCTTAAGTGTGTGTCAGTTTTCAGTCATAGCCTATTTAATGGTTTATTCTACTACATGAATTTTGTAATACAACACATCATTCATCGTCAGGGAATGTTAAACATGTGGATGACTGCGGCCAGAATCCATTCGACATTAATTTCCCTTCGAAGTTCCAGCAACATAATTTTTTTCTGGCTGTGTGACACGTAGGAAGAGAAGCATAAAATTAAATGTGGATATGCCTTAGCACTGAATATTTTCTTTGGGGTATATTCACAAAACCGACCAGAAAACAGAAGCACAAATGTATCACACAATATTAACAGGATATTTGTTATACAAATATTTCTGAATACTACACTATCGTGGATATCTGTAATTTACGGAATGCGCAAGTGTTTTTTAGAATAAGACGTGTGTCCTCTTGATATAACTCGCTTCAACTACACGTTAAGTAGAAATAAGGACAGATGGATCGCATGTGTTACATAAACTTTACCAATGCCATCACAACATAATCAAAATCAGTTTACAGCCACGCAACTACACGGTTAAATTTCCGGTTAATGGCGAGAACTACTGCAATGTATGAGGCGGTCATGTGAAATTTTGTACGGACAAAATCCCAGAAAAATTCTTTAGGAAACCAATATGAGAACATGAGGTCCTTTAGTATATGGACAAAGTACAAAAATATACAATTTATATATATATATATATGGGGTCCCGATAATTCTTCCGGTATAGCGACGAGCTACGGGCTGGACGGCCCTGATTCGATGCCTGACATGGGCAAAGATTTTATCTTTTCCTCAGCATTCAACCGGCTTTGGGGCCCAGAGGAAATTTTATACAAAGGATTTCGGGGGCGACTTCTTTTTTGGTAAAACGGCCGGGGCGTGAAAGTGAACAGTGACCTTTATATAATGTATACATATATACATCCACTCCCATATATTTCCTCATGCCATAATGCTTAATTAATTTAACACAGGGACAATTTTGTCTTTCCTATGTGTTCAATTACAAAACAATCTGAGGGGTTATACTTAAACAGAAACAAGTGAACTCTGTGCCAGCGAAACATTTGGCCGATACTGCAAGATGTGTGAAGAAGTTAATTCTAAATCGGAACAGGTCACAGAGACTGATCAGTAAGTCTTGCAGAAGGCGAAGAAGACATTTATCCGTAAAGTGCATAGTTATTGCTTTCCACGCCACGTCTGAATGTTTCCGGAGTTGGTGTGTGTCAACAGACAGGACATAATCCATAATGTCTTAGCTTCAGCATATCCAGACACATAAAGGACAATAAAGCATTGTAAATTCGTCTCAGGCCTATTATTTTCTCGAACCATATGCAGACGGTTGCCGATCACAGTGGCCGTGCGGTCTAAGAAATGAACAGTCTTCGCTCCCTCGAACGCGCGGATCGTGGTTTCGAATCACACTCAAGGCATGGATGTCTGCATTCTGTGCGTTTATTCTGTGTTGTGTTATTCTGTGTGTAGGTAGAGGCTTTGCGACGGGCTGATCCCCCGTCCAACGAGTCCTACCGACTGTGTATAGGATCAAGAAACTGAAAAATTGGCCAAGGTCCAACAAAGGTCTGTAGATAATAATAATAATAATAATAATAATACAAAACAAACAAATTCCGTGGCTTTAGCCCGCAAGCGAACTATACCGGCTGAGCGACAGCCGTGTGTCGGCGAAATTAGTGCCAAATTTAGAGGACAGAGAGTGTCGTGTGGTCAGCGAAACGGAACCCCACAGTCGTTAATTTCGGTTTTCTAGACCGGAGCCGCTATTTCCTTGAAATGGCTCCTCAGTTATCCTCACGAGGCCGAGTGGACCCCGTTTCAGGCCCACTACTTCTCGGATAACCTGGTAACGCCGGGAACATAACCCAGACCTCTGGATCTGTAGCCAGGAACTCTGACCACTGGACCGCAGAGGCGGTCAATGATGATGATGATGATGATGATGATGATGATGATGATATAGAGATATAGAGACTGTTGCTTATGAATGAAATTCCTTTTTTAATAATGGTATTAATATTAGTAGAAAAATGTGTGTGCAGAAATTTGAACAATTTTTTGGCATCTTTTCTTATCCATTTTTCACAGTCCTCTTCTCCGATGACATAAACCCTAGTATTGTGTGTCATTAATAAAATGAAGCAACAGATAAATATCAAGAGTAAGAGAGACTAAAGAGGGGGATGAGAGGAGGATTTGCAAATGTAACTCAGGTACAAAGATATGCTTGTTTTGACATATATTGAAATACATACGCATTGTTTAGGATCTGCATTAAAATGCTATCAGTGTGTATCCTGCGGAGACCCATTTTCGAGTGACCAAGGGACTGAAGTGGATTGCTCGTCTGTAGTAGGTGGTTACTGCGCCAAGATTGTCGTCGATAAAGGTAAGTGGTTCTACAATACAGGCACTAGAGTTTTCGTAAGAAACTGGTCGCAAGAACTAATTAAATTTGATATTTGCTACTTCTACAAACTTATATCTTCCATATTCGTGTGAAGACAAACTGAGATAAATCGCCAGTAAGTGATTCTATAAAAATTTGTTGTTTCGTCATTCATAGAAAGTTGAATTAATTTACTTAAAACAAATAATTAAATTTATTAGTAATAGGTTCTCAAAAACACCTCCTAAAAATTGGCAGGCAGTATACATTAAACTACTCGAAAACAATAATGAACACAATGAAAAGTGACCCTACAATACCAGCTGCTCAGAATTCTGAAGAAGTTTGTATTAAATTACATTCAGATGATAATTATAATTATTCTAACCATTATAATTACATCAGTTTTTCAACATATTTTCTGGAACTAATGGCTATTGGTAGCGGTCCTTGTACCTCCATCCAAAGAGCATGTCAATGCATATGGAAGAAAGCCTATCACAATGGCCGCGCGGCCTAAGGCAAGAACTGCCTTCGCTCGCTCAAACACTGAGATCGTGGGTTTCAATCCCGCTCAAGGCACGGCTTTCTATATGTGCGTTTAGTCTGGGTTAGCGTTGTCCTGCGTATAGGTAGCGACCTTGCGACAGGCTGATCACTCGTCCAAGGATTCCTAGCGTTTGTATAAAAAAAAATATTAGGAACTGAAGAAGAGGCAGGGGTCGAAGAAAGGGCTGTAGAATCATTAACGAATGAATGAATAAAATATGGAAGAAAATTAATAAGCAACGCATATGTATTTCATCTGTAATTATCAGTGTAAATATGAAAGGAAGGAGTTGAATTTTTTTCACAAGTATAAACACTGTAGCATAGGTTTCAGACTACCAGTGTTCATTGCTTGTAGTCTTCTGAGTCAAATGTATCTTCAGAATTACTAAAGACAAAATTTGGATACAACAGGGAACGGTTATCATAGTTTCTTACAGCCTGCATTATAACCACACTATATACGTGTTTTAAAAATCCCTTTAAGAAAGTGGCTCACGTGCAGAACGATGTTAAACCTTTATGCATTTAACTTTCGGACACACATTTATGAAGAAGTTCCGCGAAATTTGTTACTTTCTGTCTGCAATTTGGTAACAGCGAGGCAAAAAGTAAATTCTTATATATGATCTTTTCTCTAACATTTGAATATGCAGGTACATTTCTTCAAGTGATTCCATGGAGCTCTGTTTCTAATGTAATATACAATATTATTTATCTTTAAGACGGGATAGATGCTCAAACCATTGCCCTAATTCCACTTCCAAGACTCTTTCGGTCCAGAAAGAGTCTCTTCTTTTATTTTACGTACCTTGCTCAGAAATCATGTTATCTGAGTAACATAAAAAAGCAAACATTTCCTTAATTTTTTCCATTTCCCACGATTGATTTAGGAGCTATCCTGGTAAATATATAAAGACATATTTGTTTTTATTTTTTCCGCTTGCCAGAAATACTTGAATTCACCTCCTCTACTTCTTGGGTAAGAATCCTTGTGAACCTATCTGCCGAGACTCTGTGGCCGTTTCGTACTGAAGAAATATCTTTCTTTGTATATACAGCTGCAGTGAGAACAAAGTGTTCTGAAAGTCTTGGTTTTTATTTTAGAGGATTCACAGATTTTTGTGAGGATATCTTTCGGGGTACCCCCGTGGCAGAATTTGCAAAGCCCGACAGAGGGGCCTACCCAGAGCTCCCACAGCTTTTAGTAATGTCCTCCCATTTATGCCTAGGCATCCGAAACAGTATCTTCACGATCTCCAACTGAACCATATACACAATCATTCGCCTCTGCGTACGTGATTCATACCCCAGCTGTCCCATTCCCTTTGATAGGCTTATTTTTTATTGCTAGTGGCGTGGGACTAATCCCTTGTACTGCGGCCACTTCTAGCCTATTGTACCAGCCCCATGTGATAGGTGAGGGTGATTGTGGAGCAATTGATGGAATGATGATTGGCAGGGGAAACCGAGGTACTCGGAGAAAACCTGCCTCAACGCCACTCTGTCCACCACAAATCCCACTTGACCAGACCTGGGATCGAACCCGGGCCGCCGCGATGGGAAGCCAGAAACTAACCGCTTGAGCTATGGCACGGCCTTCCCTGATAGGCTTACTGCTACTCTTATGCTTCCCATCTGTTTCTGTTACTTTCTGGTTTTCCAGTATTTCAATGTAATTAGATTCTTATAAGGTTTGAAGTTTTCGCGGCGGTGACTATGAAGAATGCCGTCTTCTGGGAAGTGGCGCCCTGTACATCTTGTGTGAACCGAAGTTTCGGAGAAACGTATCGCCTCCACTTTCAGTGTATAAAAAATCCGCTCACGCTGGTTCATCGCTCGTGGATTTTTATACCCTGAATATGGAGACGATACGGTCGGTTAACAAAATGTCTACATGACGCCACATCCCAGAAGACGGCATATTTCATAATTAGATTATTGTTATATAGATATAAAATTTAATAAATTAAATTGATTTGTTATTAAAATTATATTAATACTGTTGTTATTAGTGCATGTTATTAGTAACGTTAAAACGAACACGAATACCAACTTGTGCAATGCTGAGAACAGACAGCAGACGACTCTACGTGTGAATGATATCTCTTGCAGGAGACGTCTCAAGACTGTGCGCCCCACTTACTTTAGTCCCGACCAAAGCAGGCTTGAACGGAAGGGAACTCAATGATATTGAAATGCATCTGTGTAACACTGGGGACTTCTGCAATGGCTCCGGTCGTCTCTTTGACATCTCCAAGAAGATGATGCTGCTTCCTGTATTTCTCATCTTGGTGATTTCTATGTTCTCAAGATAATATCACCAGTTCATGTTGCTTAAAATTAGAAGAGAATGGACATTACTTTAATAAAGGAACTCTCACCATACTGCTGCAATAAACATTAAAATATCTCATTTTTATATAAATTGTATATTTTTATCCTACCAAATCCCACTGAATTTAATTACAGTAATTATTTGTTAATTGTTTCCGCGCATGTCAACATTTCATGGAGTACTGCTTGGAGTAACATACGAGACACGATACAATATGAAAGTGAAAAGGATCTGTTACAAGTTCTGAATCTGATGCAAGAAGTAATTACTTATTCAGTTAGTTTAGGAAAATTGCAGACGACAAAAGTTAGTATACTTATATACTCCCAAAGAAGAGAGAGAGAGAGATGGGAAGACCCAGAATTAGTTAGAAAGATCTAGTATCAAACTGTGGAACGTATGAGCCAACCCCTGGCACACAGACAAAGAAGATGTAGGATGAGGGGAGGGAGCAAGGGGTTATTGACCTAAGACTTTAAAATGATTTAATCAGATTTCGTACATTTGAGATCAGCAAGTTTGGAAATCCCGGGGTCACAAATGATAAAAAGTGACGTGGTTCTCAATGTATGGGCTTCGACTCAACTGAAAAGTGTAAAATGCATTTTTCGTACATGGAATTTGATGTTTTTTTATCACTCCGTCCAGTATCTTCTGCCTTCTTTTCTGTTGTCTAGAAATGTACAGGTTAACTTATACTAAAATGTAAATCTGACTTCATGGGCACTATCTTTGTTGTTATTGCTAGTGGGGTGGGACTAAGTCCCTTGTACTGTGGCCAAATCTGGCCTGTTGTACCAGCCCCAGATGATAGGTGAGGGTGATTGTGGAGCAATTGGTGGAATGAAGATTGGCAGGGGAAACTGAAGCACTCGGAGAAAACCTGCCCCAGCGCCACTTAGTCCACCACAAATCCCACTTGACCAGACCCCGGGATCGAACCCGGGTCGCCGCGGTAGGAAGCCAGCGACTAACCGCTTGAGCTATGGCGCGGCCAGATGGGCACTATCACTCACATTAAGGAAAGAATATGGGCTAAAAGTCGTGAGGAGAACACTTGTGCCTAAGGGTAGAAACAGAGGGAAATTGGGGAGATTTGCGTTGAGTAGCAGCTCCATACGATGGGAAGGGAAGGTAACATTCACGGGAGAAAATACAAAGTCAAATATTATAATAATATTAAAGGATATTAAAAAATTAAATTAGGCTGTTTAGAAGAGTGTGATGTGGCTCAGGTTAAAGACCGGAAGCGGGCTCTTATAAAAGAAGTAATGAAACTTCGAGCTCCATAAAATACTTGTAAGTTCTTGACCAGCTAAGCAACTGTTCCGTTTTCAAGAAGAGTTCTTCTCCCTTCAGTTTGTAGTTAGTTACACATTATAATGTGTGATTTCTGAGAATGATAATTATCATTCTCAGAAATCAGGTATAGTAATGTTGAAGCAATGCGAAATGCAGTCTGAACGCTCTTCTCCAATGCAGATTCAAAGTAATTCTTCTCCAAGCCAAGTAAAATGGGGTAATGTGTCGCTCCAACAAAAATATTTTTAAAAATGGAGCTAAAACCTGTACAGATCGTTACAAAAATTAATAACTTGTTCAGAAATTCGCTTCGAATTTTGCTATATATACAGAGTGTAAACAAATATATGTTATAACGCTCTGTGGTAGATAGATGAGTTCATTGTGATCATACTTTGTTAATACACCCATGTCCGGGAACGCTATGTTTACGCGTTAGGGCCTCAGAAATATAAATGAAAATGCCCTTACCTCTTACCTCTGCTGCTTACTGGTGATATTTACCTAACATTTCTTCGAGAGACCTTACCCGAGCTGCTGGAATTGGTGTCTTTGTAAGTCCGTCGTGAAATGTGGTTCCAACACGATGGCCCCCCATCACACTGCACTGATGTCGTCTGTAAGCATTGGATGAAACCTTTGGCAACAGATGGATTAGACGTGGACCCAATAACCTGGCACCCTCGCTCCCCTGACTTGACTCCATTTGATTTCTTCCTCTGGGGATACATGCCAAGCCTGGTGTACGAGACTCCAATGGAGACACAACATGATCTTGTGGCAAGAATTTCATTAACAGCTAGAACCATTCAGGAATGCCAGGAATCTATCGAAGAGTTCAGCATAACATATCCAGGCGGTACAGAGCATGCAATGAAGACGGTGGCCACCATTTTGAGCAACTTTTATAAGTAAACAATAATAATATCCCCTAAAACTTAGTGCCAAAGGGAAGCTTTTCCGGACATGCGTGTATTAACAAAATATGATCAGATTGAACCCATCTATCTACCATAGAGCGTTATGACATAATGTCGCGTGCCGGGAAACCGGGAGGAATACTTCCATGGAAATGCAATAACAGTGTGCCGTTGCATAGGAATACCTTAAGCAACAAAAGCGTTTCCCCGGAGATGAAAGGACATCTGAGAGTTCGTTAAATGACAGCGGTCGAGATCAAAGCCTCATACATGGTGCGATATATTCTGTCCGAGACCAGGAGCATATATAGAAGACAGACCCGTCCTCTCGTCAGAGAGGGCGCCTCACAAAAGTAAGACCGTAAATGTCAAACAGTAATAAATATCTGGTCATGAGCCCCAGATTGGGCTCGACACCAAGACTTACTGACTGACGGACCGTCAGTCGCAATGTGACTTCGACTTCGACCAAACAGTTGACGGTTGAGTTCTAGAAGTTGCCGAGAACAGTAGCCAGTCTTCAGTTTGGCTTTGTCTATACCAGAAGCAGTAATTGTGATTCTGATAGTGATAATAATAATACTCGCTAGCATAATAGTAACTGTCCAATATATATTCTTTCAGGTCCGAAAACCGCGTGAATTTTTTGTCGCGTTACATAGGCAACACGCTACAATACAGTATTTATTTACACTCTGTATAACTGTATTTACAATTCTGACTTTACACGCGGTAAGCGTAGTTGTTTGAGGTATTATGCTGCAAGTCAGAAGGTTGCGGTTTCGAATCTCGATGAGGTCATTGAATTTTTTCAGTTCACCTAGTCCTTCTAGCCGCACTAAGAACCTGAGATTGGCTCAAATTCTAACAGAAATGAGAACCAGGAATTTTTCTGGAGGGTAAAGGGCAACCAGGGCGTAAGTCTGACAAAATTACCGCCATCTGTGAGACGATTGTCTAGAAACTGTGGGAACCTCGACATCTCGCAACCCTATGGGCCTCCACGGCCTGTAACAGAGATAGCTTTTTGGGTTATGATATGCCGCTCCTAAGTCAGTTAAACGGTTTATACATCTAGCGCCTATGCATGTTCGGTAATGCTTCATGCAGGGTCATATAAAACCGAAGGTGGAGGTTAGTTAATTTTCTGGTCTGCTATTTGAAGCTACAACTAGAATGAACGTTCCTCGTCTTATGACTTTCTGATCTGAGAACTTACAGACTTATGATCCCTTTTTTTTTTTTTACTTGGCGCTACAGCCCCAGTGGGCCTAGGCCTACCTACATGAACTTCTCCGTTCACTTCGGTTTTTCTAGATCTTACACATTCGGTAGGACTCCTTGGGCGGGTGATCAGCTCGTCGCAAGGGCTCTACCTGTACACAAACACAGAAAAACGCACACAAATATCCATGCCTTGAGTGAGATTCGAACCTACGATCCCGGTTTCCAAGCGAGCGAAGACAGTGCATGCCTTAGACGGCTCAGCTACCGTGACCGGCACATCTCAATTCACCAATCATTTTTATAGAAATGAGATTATATTTATAACTTGCACTGTTCGAATTTGTTCATATTCATGTACAGCAGAACTGTATCGTACAGAGTGGCTCAATATAATGATAAGGCTCCGAGATAAGCGACAGAAGAGCAACGATCCTATGCTCCACAGAGACAAGACATTCATATACACGCAGCAGCGTCCAGTTTTGTCTGTGGACAGCAAAGCCTCATCTCCTAAGACTTTAGGTGGCAGTTTACATCAGTTTAAATCATCAGAGGTGTAAAGTTGACCACTCACATGCATGCAAATCCGAGGTTAAGAAAGTGTAGGGCTATACCAACACCATAAATCTTAGAGAAGGCCTTAATTAGACACAGGAAGTTTAGAGTTTGGTAGGAGACTCTCTCAACAGTTCAGATTATACGTATATCATTAAACTGTATAATAATACGTAAATTGGGGTGAGTGTGGAAGGAGGTGTCTTCGTTTAGGACATGCTGCCATCTACCTGGAATGACAGGTTAAATATGAGAAACCTCAGTTAGTATTTCCGATCTCCAGGTAGAAATTTAAAACTTTGGGCTGTCAAATAGGAAGTATGACACACTGTAGAACGAGACTGATACACAACACTATCATTGCCACCACAGTGTTAGGGGTCGGGGCCTATCGCACAAGACACAGTTGGCAAGGAAATGCTCTTTTTACTTTTCATTGATAAAGTTGTAGAGTACTTGAGAACTGGGTGCACAAGTAGAACGTCTCTCAAAGCACGAAAAGAGAGAGATATTCGAGTGCATGCCGAGCCTGAAGCTTGTACGCCAGGACCTCAATAATTCTCAGTAGCCTGGACCTTCTTGAACTGCCTTTTTATTCACCTTGAATAATTAGTTTAGCGAACCACTGCAGAAGAGAGAAGCGAGTTTAGATCTACTGGTTCACTGAGAGCGTCATGTGGGGAGGTACTTTTGTGGCCTTCAGAGCAAGGGGTTTAAATTTTACGAATTTAAAAAGGGATGGTTCTATGGAAAGCATTCTGTGGAAGCTTGAAAACTGGAACTGTATACAGAGCAAATCCAAGAAAATATGTGTCCAAGCGGACGACGGCAGGGGTTCCTTCTGGCTCCTAGCGAGCAGTCTGGGAACTACAGAATACACCGGTTCCCTGACGTTCTGTAATATATCTGCTGCTCCTTCAAACATAATGTATACTCCATTGAGATTCGCATTAGACATAACAATTTTCAGTTCATACAGACCTAAAGTAGGGGGTACTCGGTAACGTAGTTAGTTGAAGCACAATGCTACAAGCCGGAAGGTCAAGGAATCTAATCCCGATGAGGTGGATTTTT